CCCCTATCAAATATGCCATAAAATTTGCGGTAGTTGCTGTGTCATTTTCGTTGAAGAGAGATTTTGCACCTCAAATACCAAGTGGTTTTCTTCCTCATGATCTGTAGATCCCGCTAATTACTTCGTGAGATCGAATTATTTTGATAACGGTGAACTCAAATGCAGTAACATCTACCGTCTGACATTTCCAGAGCTCAAGAAACAGTTTTAGCCTAACGTTATACCATTTTCAGAGGGCTCAAAGCGTCTTTTTCCACTTAATCTTATCATTGACAGCATGCCAAATTGACTGTTTCGGCATCTTCCTTACCTTGCCATTGATTCAGACACAAAAGTAGGCTCATTGAAACAATTCGTGGAAAAATTTGAAGGACAAAGCTGTGAATTGGGTGCAATAGCAAGCCATATAAATAAGTCGGAGGAATTGGGAGATTACTGTGGATTTAGGGGGCTGAACAGGCAGCAGCAGTGAGAAGGAATGATTTAAACCCTGAACTCGCAGTTTAGTTCTCGCGAAAGGTATCAATTACGTGAACAGCAGGCTACTTGATTCAAGTAATCCGGTTCGCAATCTAATACTAAGTTCAGTGCTTTCATCTCTTCATTTTAATTTAAGAGAGGCACAAGAAGAGCACAAATCAACCCCGCTAACAGAGACAGTATTAGCAAAACAAATAGCAGTTATCAGCAAAGTCGACGAAATAACAGAAATTATGGACTCGTTTGCGGTCAGGCAAGCGTTTATCACACCTATATATTTGCTCCACCCTTTGTGCATCAATCACGCTTACTTGCAGTAGTTTCTGACGGGGGAGGGGTCAAGTTAGAATCCGAAAGACTAGGAAAATGAAATCCTTGTTCCAGCAATCGCATGTCCACTTTCTCATCCGTTTCGTGGAAGTTACATTTTTGCTTGTATCAGCAAATACAATACTGCCATCTGTAAATATTTAGCCCACAAATAACCTTTCACAGTCCCTTTTGATTTTTGCTAACAGTACTTGCAACTAGATAATAAAACAATTGGGAAAGTGTTTACCGTTCACTATAAGCAAAAAGCAGTAAAATACTTAATAAATTTCCACTCATAAGTTTAAGGAATATGGTTTAAAAAATTCTAGCGAATGCTGTTTGACTTCGAATAATCATTCTGATATAAAGGGGCACCGAAGTAAAACACACTAAGGCCAGAAACCGTCTGAGATCGAGCGTTTGATGAGATTGTTTGAGCGGAACCAAAGGTCCTTATTTACAATTAGCAGCTAAAATTCTACCAAGTTAACGGATCTTTAAAGATATATCTAATATCTGGCCAAGTCACGCAACTTATTGCAGAACATTTGGTGGTATGCAACTTTTCTGTTATTGGCCCTGTTGTCTCGGTTCCCCGCGTTACTTAACACAATTTAACATGAAATTTAGCCCAGAAAAAGATAATAGAAAGAATAAATTTTGTTCCTCAAGACTGTTGCCGGTCAAACGTTACCTTACGAAATCAGGACACGAGTGTTAAAAGCGAAGCTTTTGTCACCGTGGCAATTGTTTTGACAGCGCATATATGGAAATGTAGCGAACACTCACAGAACACAAATAAATTGCTAATACATGCAAACATGCGTGTTCTAGGAAGTAATTGAGAAGTAGAAGACGACTCGATCGCTGGGACAATAT